GCTGACGGAACTTTCCAGGCCATAACCTCTGTTCCACATTAGTATACAGTTACTGTCCATGGACGTTTAACATGGAACTGGACATCAATATGAATCATGTTGCCACAGACCAGGTCTTCAGAAGAGTGGCAGTAACATTGAACTACAAGGCGTATGAGCACACATCTGTGCATGCTGGTGACAGGAAACACAAAGATCGCTCTCAAAGGTCTTAGACCCTAGTGCATTATGATGGTGGATGCTGCCTAAAGGCTCCGTGAACTGTGTGAGTGCTCAGTTAGCGAAAAAGCAACTACAAGATCAGAAGTGGCCTTACCTTCGAGGACACAATGAGACTTCCCAGTGTCAGTCAGAAGAGGCCTGTCCAGCTCTCCCAGATCTTAGGAGCTCAGTGCCCATTCACAGGAAGGAGTGAGGAATGTCAGCGCATGAGTGAAAGCAGAGTCCACAGCAGAGCTCCAGACTTGGGAGTTTCTGAGTCAGATACAATTGTGCACGAATTCCCAGAGCTTCATCTCTGCTTCTGTTCAGGTACAGCTGGCCAACATCCTGCCACCCTTCTTCCCACTCCTTTCTTCGATGGGCCTCTGCACACTGTCCCTGCTCATCTTCAGCAAGGCTTCTCTTGCATTACTTTGACTATCCTATCCTCTCTTCTGATTCTCCCTTTTCTTCCCTGACAGTTGTTCTTCGTAAGTACTGGACTTACTTATTTTATCCCCATGGCACTGCAGACGGACACTAGATGGACATGCTAAACAAGGAGTTTCTTGCTGATGTATGTTTAGTCATTCATTAGCTATTTTTATTTTGAGGCAGCTCAATAAAAACATATATACCCTATAAAAATCAATCCTTAAAAACCAGTGAGATGAATTCCATAAAGTTCTGAAGCAAATTTTTAGTAATTCAGTTGAAGGTCCATGCTTCAGCACAAGTCACAGAGGCACGCAGCAGGTAGTGGAGGGCTAGATTCTGTACACTTTCCTGCTGGGGATAGTGGGGTCTAATGATTGGGGATACTAAATCGTCAGTGAAAATACAGTGCAATAGCTTCTGATATCTTTAAACATGTCTTCTCAACATTTGAAATACTTGCATATCCCCGTAGTTATCCTGATTCACAATTAAATCGATATATATTTGTGATGAATCCTGTATTTATAAGAGCTGTTAATTCTGAAGTATAGCAAAGTTGAAACACAATATAAAGGCTTTATAAGTCAAGTATTGGTGTCTTTCCTTAAGACATTCTAATTAATGCTGCCAATGCCAAAATGCTTCAGATGAATTTTACATTGGAAGTTCATGATCTGATGGAGGAAGGACATTGGTTAATTATAATAAAGAAACTGCCTTGGCCCATTTTATTGGTTAGAACATAGGTGGGTGGAGTAAACAGAAGAGAATTCTGGGAGAAAGAAGCTTAGTGAGGGAGTCGCCATGGTTCTCCCACTCCAGACAGACACAGGTTAAGATCCTCCCTGGTAAGCCACCTCGTGGGCTACACAGAATATTAGAAATGGGTTAGAACAATATGTAAGAGCTAGCCAATAAGAGGCTACAGATAACGGGCCAGGCAGTGTTTAAAAAAATACAGTTTCCGTGTAATTATTTCAGGGCATAAGCCTGCCATGTGGGAGCCAGGGCTGCCGGAAAGCAGCCCTGCCACTCCTTCAACAATGATCTTTTCTGAAAACATTTTTCTAAAATAGATACATCACAGAGTGAAGATTAGCATCTAGTATGGGTCTCTGCTTGCAGAAAACTCTTCTACATGACTTGTGGAGCTACTACATGCCTAACCAGGGTTTGAACAGTCTCTTACCCTTTATTTTAACAGTGATGTTCATTTAAGCAGAAAATGTTTGCACTTTAAATAATTTTTTAACACATTTATGCATGTAGAGTTGACTGATTTTTAGCTAATCATGTCTGTAGTGAGTATTCAACAGCTTCTAAGTCGCTGGATGTGGCTGTCTCATGTCAAGGACTTCATCCTGCAGTCTTGGTGCTGAGCATGTGCCATTCAAAGAAAGAGAAGCCCCAGACTTACAGCCTGAGAAGACAAAGAAGGCTGTGGAGAAACAATAACCTTGAAAGAACCATGAGTTCTGCACATGAGTGCCATTTCTTCTAGGAATAGTCACAGGTTAAACCATTTTAATGTGGGTATAGACTAGAGGAGACTGCATATTTCTGCCATGGTTAGTGAAGCTTCCTGAATTCCATACAAGATAGTCCTTGCAGGACAGGAGACCTTTATTATTGACCTTTGAGTTGAGTCTCCTAGATAAACAACCAGCCTGAATTTCATAATGTCAATGGGCAGTGGAAAGAGAGAAAACATGGATCATGAACAGGACAGATGAGTGAAGAGCTTTGTATGAATTTGTCTATACTATTCCACTGGGAGGCTATGTGTGCTTTCTGTGTGATGCTGTCTAGGATAACCCACTGGGTGTCCATGTGTGTTTTCTGTGTGAAGGTGTCTAGAATAATCCACTGGATGGCCATGTATGTTTTCTGTATGAAAGTGTCTAGACTAATCCATTGAATAACCATGTGTGTTCTCTATTTGATGGTGTCTAGAATAAGCCACTGAGAAGCCTGGTATAGCTGAACTTTTTCATTAGGATTGTTGGCTCCCCAGTAATGACATGGTGACATTATTGTAAAAGATTGATCTATAGCTTAGACTTGCCCCACTAACTCTTATAAATTAAATTAATCTATTTCTATTCATCTCCATGCTGTCACATGACTTGGGGCTTTTATCTCTCCTCCAGCGTGTCTTCCTCTCCCTGTGTCTGGCATGTTGACTTTTCCTTTCTTCTTCCTGGAGCTCTTCGTCCCCAGAAGTTCCACCTCACCTATTCCTGTCTAGATAATGCCATTCAGCTCATTCTTAAACCAATCACAGTGACATATCGTTACACAGTGAAAAGGAATATTCCACAACATTTCCCCCTTTTTTATCAAATAAAAAGGAAAGTGTTTAACTCTAACATAATAAAACTATATACAATAAGAACAACTATGAGGTAAGAATTATATTCATAATGTTTAATAAATTTGCATTTGACAAATTTAAAGAAAATAGGCCAGTATTAATCCTATCTTGGTGAGTCCAAAGTTTTGTAGCCAACTTACCTTCCATCATAGCTAAGGAAACTGCAACTAAAACTCTTTAGTCTTCAACTCCCACAGGGACCCCAGAAGGATATAAAATTACCTGAGTAATCAGGACATGCAGAGCAAGCAACTTTCAAAACTTAAGAAATGATAGAGACATCTGCCTGGACAGTCACCCCAAATTTTCTCTGCAAAACATCCATCTTTGGCCTAAACCTGGTGTGTTCTTGGCATGACAGGGTCTAAGATAAGGAAGTTCTTATCTTTGCATGTACTTTCTCATAAAAGTAGCCTTATTGTTTTTTCCCAAGCCCAGTTTAAGTTATTAATATTCAGTCCAGAACCCACACTGATATTAGATTTCCAAGTTTTGGAAAAATAAAACTTTGAGAAAGAAAATGGCAATTGAAATCCTTCCTTTTTATCACAAAGTATGCCATTTTCATCAGTTTACTGTTTCCCGACTTCAGTTGCTTTTTCATTTCAGCTTCAAGATGAAGAAAAGACAATGAAGGCTTCTTTTGCTTTTGGAGTCATCATTTCTATTTTCTTTAAGGTTTCCACAGCATAATACACTCAAGGCTCTGTCCTCATTGTGCTTTGAGAATTGGCATCGTTCTGTGAAATAGAATCTAAGCCTTGAATGAGACGATGGCATTGCATCCCACCATCCTCATTTGAATGACACAGGGCAAAGCTGAACAGAGATGAAACTGCACATAAGTCCATCCTGTGTGAGGAGTGGCACTGCTCCCAAATGCTGCTCTACTGAACTCCTTTATGCATCTCACTGGACCGATGGATAGAGTGGATAGATGTATAGACTCTTTGTGTACCAATGAGCACCTAGGAGATGGGGTTTTGTGTCACAGTGGCATTTGAAATTGGAAGGTTTGATATTAATCTTTCTGTGACATTGTGACCATGAGCGACAATGTCCTTGCAGATGTTCTCTAACAAGATATCCTTACCCACATTGTAAATATCAGGTATGGTTCTCAAAGGCTGAGCAAAAGGCAATGCCAACTTTCTATGATGACCTGTTAAGGGTGAACTTCACAGGGACCGGAGAGATGGTTTCATGGTTAAAAGGGACTTGCTATTTACTCTTGCAGAGGGATCCAGGTTCAGTCTGCACCATTCACAATGGATAGCTCTCAACTTCCTGTATTTCCAGTTTCCAAGGTTTTGATACCCTCTTCTGGGCTTCCCAGGCACCTTCTCCCCTGAACTCACATGTCTGTACCCTCACACAGACATGCACATAAAAATACACTAAAAATAATTTTTTTAGATTATAGCTTAGGGTTTTGCTGGCTCTGTGAAATGTATTTAGGAAAACACACACACACACATTTATGTAACAATTTAAGGAAAAGTGTCCATGAATTTGAAAGAGATTGGGAGAGGGATATGTGGCAGGGTTTGGAGGGAGGAAAGGAAGGGAAGAAATTATGTAATTATCTTTTTTTTAAAGTCATGTTTTTCTCTAATGTGAATAATTTATATTTAAATGTAACTGTGCATTTATGCATACATAGGACATTAACGTAGATCTAGGTCGGTGAGGGAAGAGGAGAAGGGGAGGAAGAGAAAATGTTGATTATTGTCTTTCATGTGTGGATCCTGTGTTAAAGAACATACTTACCCATGAAAGCGGGGGTGTATGGGAGTATGAAGGGGGCAAGTAGGAAGCAGAAAGGGGCAAATATGAGCAATTATACACATGTATGAAAATGTCAGGTTGACACCCCTTGTTGGATATGCCGCCTAAAAAAAAGAACCTCTTACAAAACATCTCACATGGTGTCCGTTGTACGCTGATGAACTGCTGGGCAAATTCTATTGTTTCCATCTGTTTCCAGCCAGGACATGTGGATCTAACCTGCGTGGGCCAAGTGGTATCATCACCTCCCCTAATTATCCCGTGCAGTATGAAGACAATGCTCACTGCGTATGGGTCATCACGACCACTGATCCAGACAAGGTAAGGCTTCTCCACCCATGCGGGTGCTGTCCAAAACTGTTTCCGGTTAGCAGACTGCCTGGCCAATCAGTGACTGACCTTGGCTAGTGACCACACACCCTCACCTAGCCATAGAGTCTAGCCAGGACTCAGTACTGTGCCTTCTGGCAGGCCAGGATGGGAGGTCATTCCTGATACTGGGTACACTGTGCTGCTTCTTTACTGAGCATGTCTGCCATGTCAGGCACCACTGCTCAGTCAGCCCTTTCCTCCAGCTTGAGTCTGCTCAGTGCCCTTTGCTGGAAACTCCATTGCTGGATAGAGTCATAGCATTGACTTTTCGGCACAGTTGTCAAGACGAGGCTGTTATTTTTCCCTCCTCTGAAAGCCTTTCCCCAGTGTCCTGTGATAATATATTAGGTCAAATGGTTCTCGCATCCATGATACTCGAAGCTGTGTGTGTTCTCTGCAAATTTATCACATGCCCTCTGCAATGCTATGCCTACCTCTTACTCTGCAGGCGAGGGGATGGTACTCACCACTTTTCTATTGACGTGAAATGAATTATCTTCAATGCACTCTAAGTTCACCAAAATTCAGAGCGGACTGCGAGGGTCAGATGTCTTCATATCATTTTCATTAAGAAACTGACAACAAAGTATTCCGGCACAGATTTCAAATTATGTGAAACAAACACTATTAAAGGAACAACTTTCTGGGAACATAAATTTACTGAACCTCAGATTGGCAGTTTTTGAGTGGTCTGGCATTTTGTTTCTGTAGCGGCCACCTGCGCATTTCTGCCCTCTCAATAAACTGGTGCTTGTCAGGTCCCAGGACATCTTCCATACCAAGGCAAGCATAGAGAATTCCTTTGTGACAGCATCGTCTGTCTCCCAGAGTCTGTCCTCAGCACAGTTGATGTCAGCTCTGTACACAGAAGGCATGTGGGCTTGAGTAGACTCTGAGCATCTGAGCCTGCACTGTCACAGAGACCATAGGAACATTTTCCTTCGTTGGGGACTAGGACAAATCAGTTGCTATGTGAACTTAGTTACCATAACAGTATCATCCACTACAGATTATTAGACTTAGAAATGGCAAAAATACCCAGCAAGAGTTGACTTAGGGATAAGCTGTTTGGGTCATCATTAAGTGTCTATCAATCCAAGTTTAGTTAAACTAGTGCTAACATGTATACTACGTTCCTGGTCTGCATTTACTTTCCTTGGTTCTCACATCCATACACTTTTGAAACATTCTGTTTTCTCTCTATCAAGCTAAGTCATTTGACCTTGAGAACTTAGGAAAGGCTTGAAAGTCAGGTGGAAATATTTGGGGAAGGAATTGAAAACAATTGTGTTTGCCTGCTTTACGGTATACTAGATGTAGAATTGAATTAATGGCAAATATATATTACCTCTGCTGCCATGCAGTACAAGCAAAAATACATGTTTATGTCCTCTCTAAAGAGATGCCATTACAGCCCAAAGTGTCTTATTGTGACATTTATAAAGCATAAAATGTTTTATTTTTGTAATCAAGGAGGTAGGACAACCTCATTTCTTATATTTGATTTTAGCAATAATATAACTAAAGGAAATGGATCTATATAAATCAAATATATGAGTTAGTTAGTGTCTACATATTCCCTGTGGTTCAGCAAAAAGGAAATATGGAAGATCACACAGAAGTAGGGAGCCCCTCATGGGAAGTGAAGAGGTAACCCTACCCAGCATGTGGTCTTCCTGCACGCTATTGCATATAAATCCCTTGTCTCCTGCCAACTCTGTCCCTGAGCCCCTTCAGTCATTATGGCTGTTCTCCGTGTCTTCCCCAGTGCTACACCATTGGCTGGAGAGAACTCTTAGGGTCCTTTCCATCTATACACAACCTATACTATGCAAGATATTTCCATCTTCTCTCAACCGTTGAATGATTCAACAAATTCAGCATCTCTTCATTAGAAAAACATGAAATAATCTAATCACAGAAGAACCATACCTATAATTATAATGATTTGCAGAACACCTGTGGTTTTAGCCCATTTTTCTCACTGCTTCTGGGGCAATGAATGGCTTTAAGAAAGAGTTGGCTTTGAAGACAATCAGGATAACAAAAACATGTCAGAGTCTTCCTAAGTGCCTTTCCATGGAGAAAGAGAAAGTGTGCATGTACCGTTTGTGCATAGGGGCCATGGAGGAACGGACTGAATGATACATAATTCTTTCACTGGGAGAGAACAAGAGTGATAAAAAAGACAAGTTCAAAAGGCATTGAAGAGTGTGTCCTACAGTTGCCTCGCCTGTAGACTCATGAAGATGTAGCTTCAGTTGAGAAGGGTGGGGAGAGGAGGCTGAAGGGGAACAGGTCTTGAGTCTCTTGTTCAGTATTCTCTGTCCTCCAGAGCTTTGCCATACATCTTCCCTCCAGCAGGTGCCATCAGTGACAGGAGAGAAGAAAAATCAAAGATGACATTGAACCTGACTTAGTATTTTATTTACGAGTTTTACACTTGTGCTTATCAGGGAGGATGACCCACAGCTTCCCTTTCTGTGTGTACTAACTTGATTTTGTTGTCTTGTGATACTGGCTCCTGAGAATGAGCTTGGGAGAATTTTTTTTCTTTTCTGTTATGAAATAGCTAGAAGAACAGTTGTGTCAGTTCTTCAAAAGTCTGATAAAATGCCGCAGTTAATTAATACAGTCGTGGGCTTTTCTCCCATTGGGCACATTTTAATTATCACTTCAATCTCATTACCTATTGTTGATCTGTTTGTGGGCTTGTATCTTCTGTTTTGATGATAAGTCATGTGTCTAGGAACTTACCAATTTCTTCTAATTTTATGGTTCATTGTAATTCAATTTATTAGAATTTTCCTTAATAATTTTCTGAATTTTAGTGCTACCTATTGTAATAGAATCTTTGAATCTCTACCTTATTTACTTGAATTTTCTCTTCTGTTTGGTTGGGTTGTTGAAAGGCTTGTCAGTTTTCTTTATCTTCGGAAAGAGCAACTCTTTGTTCCATTGTCTGAGTGTCATTCTTTGAGTCCAAACTTCCCTTATTTCTGCTCTATTGCTGGTTTGGGATTTGGTTGGTTGTTGTTAGAAGAAAAATTCACTATGATCAAGTTGGCTTCTTTAGGGTAATGCATTCTATGCAAATCAATGTGTAAAAGATAAATACAGAAGTAGAGGTAAGGGTGGAAGTCAAGATGAGCTCAATTGATGCAGAATTAACCTTTGATGAAGTTCAATATCTCCTTATAATGAAAAATCTTTACAAAGTAGGGATTAAATGAATGCAGCTTAACACAATAAAAGTTTCATAAGACAACCTCTTAGCCTATATAATACTGATTTCAGGAAATCTTAAGTATTTCCTCAATAATCAGGAATATAAGAAAGATATCTACTTACTTCACTTTCACCTTATATAGTACTTATTTATATGCAAGTACTATATTTAACCTAAATATGACAATAAGACACTAAAAAGGAATACAAATGGGAAAGGAAAAAGTGGAATTTCCTTGTTGGATGATGGCAGGATGCTATGACTTGAAGACCCTAAACAATACCCAGAAAGTGATTAGAAATTATAAATCAGTTTGACAAATAGCAGGATACAAATCCTCACACAGAATCATCTACTACCCTATAAATGTCACTGAATTCACTGAGGAATAAGATAGCTTAAGAAAGCCATCTTATTCTCAGTAGCCCCTGTGGTGGTTTGAATGAGAATGACCCCATAGGCATGTATGTTTGAATGCTTGGTCCCCAGTTAGTGGAACAGTTTGGGAAGGAGTGAGAGTTACAGCCTTATTGGAATGGGTGGGACCTCGTTGGAAGACATGTGTCACCTGAGGTAGACTTTGATATTTAAAAGGTTCATATAAGGCTTAGCCAGTCTCTCTCACTGTCTCCATCTCTCTCTATCTCTATCTGCCTGCAACTTGATGAGCAGATATGTGCTCTCAGCGCCTGCTCCAAATGCCATACTTGCTCAGCTGTCACCACACTCCCGGTCATGATGATCATGATTATAAGCTGCCTTCATCAGGTGCCTCCACATAGGAATCCAATAGTGGCTAAGACAGCCCCTTTGAAATTTAAATCAATAAATCTATGACTGGAGAGATGGCTCAGAAGAAAAAACACTGGCTGTGCTTTTCCGGAAGACTCCAGTTTAATGCCCAGCACTCACATGGTAGCTCACTATTGTCTGTAGCTACAGTTCCAGTAGGTCTGGTGCCTTCTAATGGGCTTCTTGAGTATTGCACCCACATGGTATATAATCATGCATACAAGCAAAACACCCATACACACAAAATAAAAATAAATGCATCTCAAAAAAGAATAAATCTAACAATGAGGGTAAAATATCCATAAATAAAATCTATTAAACTGCAAAAATCAAAACTAAGATTTTTTTCAGTAGGAAGACTCTAGTTACAATGATTGAAAGGAATAATGTTAAAATGACCAAATGATGAAATGCAATATATAGATTGAATGATATTCTCAGAATAATATAAATTATGTTCTTCACGTAATAAGTAAAACCTACTAAACATCAGTGCAGATGCATGAGACCCTGAATAGCTAAAGAATTCTGAGAAAGAGAGATATTCTGAGGCATCCTGACCACCAACTTCAGCATGCGTAACATACATACAGCCATGGTAACCAAAACATCATGGGTTGGGCAAAAAACAGACCAACAGAACAGAAATCTCAGAAGTTACATGGGGATAGTCACCTGGTTCTTGACAACATAACCCCAGACACTGGAGGCTTCATGATTTCTGGATCATATGGTACATGGAAAGCCTCACCATTCACACGCATCACACATGGAAATCCATTAAAAAGCCTCTCTTGGCCAACACAGGAAGAAATAAACTATGTTGTTCACAAGCCTAATGAAGACCCAGACTCTCAGAACTTGCTGGGAAAGCATGGGAAACATCAGGGCATTGCATATGGCTCTTGAACTGGGCTTGGGGTTTAGG